ATACATGTCATCATTGATCAGATTGGGGAGGGGACCAGAGAAGATTACGGTGTCCGACATTGTTTTAGCATAACTACACACCGACTCCACATTAAGTTTGGTGCATTCTGATTGGCGTAAACGAACATCATTACCACCGACGTGAATAACAATCCTATTTACGTTTATTTTTAGCCAGCAGTTTAAGATGCGCCTCAACGTCGCCCGCTCTGGCCCCCGGAATGCATGTGACTGTGGAGGCTTCGGTCTCTAAATTCACGTGTTTCATAATAGAGCTACCAATAACCAGAGTTGGCTTCTCAGCGGGTGTCTCGCTGAGTGGGGAATATCTGTTAGATACGTGAACGGGTTGGTGGGGACCTGCGGGGTTCGCGTTATGCCCCTTCTGAACAGTCACCCAGTCTCCCTGCTGCTCGGGAGTTGCCGAGGGACGCCTAAGAGGAGCTACCTTTTGCCGGTCCGCACCGGCTAACATGGGCTTTACTGTAGCTGAGTTACTTTCTAAGCGGAGCCGGGCTTCTATGGCTATGATTCCCGCCTCCAACCTAACAACTATACTACATTTAACACATGTATCGGTACCAGTAAAGGAGGTAGGGAAGTAACCAAACCCGAGGGTGGGGAAAGAGCCATGGCTAGCTATCAAGCTAAAGTAGCTACCGTTAGCAAACCCGAAAAGAGTGTAGGCAACTGTGGAGTTACAGTCGCTAAGAGAAGGAGAGTTGTGAGTGCTTAACCTGTAGTAACGTGTGATTACAACGTCAGGCAGTTGCCGTGATCAAGAGTTTTAAAACGATCGATTAAGTTAAGATAATAAGCTATCAGCAACAGAACAGGCACACAGGATAACCGGAGGTGACAACAACAACAACCGGAAGTTACAACATGCTTACCGCGTGGTCCGTGTAGAAACACTTGTTGTGGATTCTTTCAAATGATTTTTTAAGATTGACAAACATCATATGCGTAATTCATGACACAATTCAAATGGGATCGAAAGATACGTTTTCTCTCTCCATTGACTTCAATACATAATTTTTCCGAAATAAGGTCCAATGGACCGGAAGTAGATGGGCGTGACTTCGCCACTCTATATCTACATATAAAGACGGAGAAAGTAAACGATAACGTTTATGGTTAAGTGTTAGCACCCCCTGAAGAGGCACAAGCTCTTACGTTGATATTGGAGATTTCAATAAATTCAATTTGAAAAAAAAATGGGGGGAAAACAAACAAAATGAATATCCGAATAACAAAATTGAAACCCGAATAGTACTCCAACGAATGGATATTCGGGTACAGCCCTACACAACAGATGCTTGACTTTTATTTATAGCCAATCACAGCACAGTAGGGCAGATCCGGCTGCAGTCAGGTTGCATTGTGAAAATCATTGGAGAGCAGAATAAAAAAATCATAAAGTTAAAGGAGGTGGAACGGTTTGGTGTGTGAGTGAAAGCTACCGTCTGATTGGTTGGTTAGTGGAAAGATTTGACTTGTGAGGTGGTACCTAGATGGGGGGGGACAGATCCCGATGGTAGCATAGAACTTGGTGAACTTTTTTCAAATCTGGTTAAATCTATTATTTATTTATTCTTTAGGATCACAAAGTGACCCATGTCATGCCTGGGGCAACTCTTTTCTCAATATCTCGCAGACCTGGTGTCCACAGAAGAGATCCATAGTTATTTTAAGGACTATAAAAGTACGCTCATGCTTATGGTTTATTGAGAAGTATTTGGGGATATCATCCTGGAAACAGTTACAGTGGGTCAAAAAAGTATTTAGTCAGCCACCAATTGTGCAAGTTCTCCCACTTAAAAAGATGAGAGATGCCTGTAATTTTCATCCTAGGTATACCTCAACTATGAGAGAGAAAATGAGAAAAAAAAAATCCAGAAAATCACATTGTCTGATTTTTAAAGAATTTATTTGCAAATTATGGTGGAAAATAAGTATTTGATCAATAACAAAAGTTCATCTCAATACTTTGTTATATACCCTTTGTTGGCAATGACAGAGGTCAAACGTTTTCTGTAAGTCTTCACAAGGTTTGCACACACAGTTGCTGGTATTTTGGCCCATTCCTCCATGCAGATCTCCTCTAGAGCAGTGATGTTTTGGGGCTGTCGCTGGGCAACACGGACTTTCAACTCCCTCCAAAGATTTTCTATTGGGTTGAGATCTGGAGACTGGCTAGGCCACTCCAGGACCTTGAAATGCTTCTTACGAAGCCACTCCTTTGTTGCCCGGGCGGTGTGTTTGGGATCATTGTCATGCTGAAAGACCCAGCCACGTTTCATCTTCAATGCCCTTGCTGATGGAAGGAGGTTGTCACTCAAAATCTCACGATACATGGCCCCATTCATTCTTTCCTTTACACGGATCAGTCGTCCTGGTCCCTTTGCAGAAAAACAGCCCCAAAGCATGATGTTTCCACCCCCATGTTTCACAGTAGGTATGGTGTCCTTTGGATGCAACTCAGCATTCTTTCTCCTCCAAACACGTCTAGTTGAGTTTTTACCAAAAAGTTCTATTTTGGTTTCATCTGACCATATGACATTCTCCCAATCCTCTTCTGGATCATCTAAATGCTCTCTAGCAAACTTCAGACGGGCCTGGACATGTACTGGCTTAAGCAGGGGGGACACGTCTGGCACTGCAGGATTTGAGTCCCTGGCGGCGTAGTGTGTTACTGATGGTAGCCTTTGTTACTTTGGTCCCAGCTCTCTGCAGGTCATTGACTAGGTCCCCCCGTGTGGTTCTGGGATTTTTGCTCACCGTTCTTGTGATCATTTTGACCCCACGGGGTGAGATCTTGCGTGGAGCCCCAGATCGAGGGAGATTATCAGTGGTCTTGTATGTCTTCCATTTTCTAATAATTCCTCCCACAGTTGATTTCTTCACACCAAGCTGCTTACCTATTGCAGATTCAGTCTTCCCAGCCTGGTGCAGGTCTACAATTTTGTTTCTGGTGTCCTTTGACAGCTCTTTGGTCTTGGCCATAGTGGAGTTTGGAGTGTGACTGTTTGAGGTTGTGGACAGGTGTCTTTTATACTGATAACGAGTTCAAACAAGTGCCATTAATACAGTTAACAAGTGGAGGACAGAGGAGGCTCTTAAAGAAGAAGTTACAGGTCTGTGAGAGCCAGAAATCTTGTTTGTTTGTAGGTGACCAAATACTTATTTTACCGAGGAATTTACCAATTAATTCATTAAAAATCCTACAATGTGATTTCCTGGATTCTTTCCCCCCATTCTGTCTCTCATAGTTGAAGTGTACCTAGGATGAAAATTACAGGCCTCTCATCTTTTTAAGTGGGAGAACTTGCACAATTGGTGGCTGACTAAATACTTTTTTGCCCCACTGTATATCTGTCACGATCACAGGTACAGATCAGAACCCAATAGCACGACACAGATACAACCAGTGTTTAGCAATGTTCAGTTTAATCAGGTCAGGGACATGCAGGGTAAAAACCAGGAAATCCAGCAGTAAGGCAAACAAATCCGAAAAGGGGCAGGCAGAACAGGGCTCATAACCAGGTGATCCGTCCGACAGGCAACCAAATCCAAACAGGGGGCAGGCAGGAACTCAAGGTCCGAATGCAGGCAGGCAGGGGTCAAAACTAGTGATGGCAGTTTGACACTGAAGCTTCGAACGGAGCTTCAACCCTGGACTTCCTATTCCATAGAAGCAGTGATTCGAAGCTTACTTCAAATCACGTGACATATGATGTCAGAAGCAGCAACTGCTTCAAATCACGTGACATGTGACGTCCGAACCAGCAACTGCTTAATTTCCTGAATGAATCAACTCACTGGTTCGCCGTCCAATCAGGTGATTCAATGCACTGCCTCGTCTCGATTCTGACGAATTTGAGCGCTTCAACACTTTATGACCGCTCTAAACAATGCGCAATGTGTGGGTTGTTGTCGTAGTTTGCGTTGTTGCTGTTGAGTTGTTGTTGGTATTGCATTTGAATTGTAGTATCATTATAGAGCAAGCCAGGAAGAAAGATATGTCGTTCTGGCTCGGGAAACACTTCGAAATGTGGAGAAGTTGTGAACAAAGACAATTATGAGTAATATAAAAACAGTTCAATAGTTTAAGGAATAGATAGCCCAGTGGATAGAGCCGGCGGCCCGAACGTGGTGATGTCCTCCGCGCAGCTGGTTCAAAGCCCGGAATAGATTAACTTTTAATCATTGCTTTTCAACTTTAATACTTTAATAACTGATAAAAGGCCCTCTCCTCCCAAAAAAATGTCCAGCACTCTCTAGTCTCTTCTCAATAACCCAATACACACAATTATCAATCTTTAATTGCAAATAGAACATGATATTCAGTCTTAGTGTGTGTGTGCATCGAATATTTTTCCAGGCAAAGATACGTTAAACCCACTGCAGCCTTCCACTTCGCCAGGAGAGGTCGCTGTAACTGAAGCTTCGAGAAATTAACCTATTTCCGACACAATTGTCCAAGTGGTTCGACGCTTCATTCAAAGCTTCATTTTGCCATCACTAGTCAAAAACCGGGCAGGACAATAATCTAGGCTAGAGAATAATAAACACTGGAGCGCTTGGCAGAAAAGACAAGACAATCTGCCAAAGGACAAGTGATAGTGAGGTGGTATAAATACTGTGGAGTAATGAGGGAATAAGTAACAGGTGAGGGGAAGGGCTGGGGAGACCAGGTGAGAGAAGTGAGCTGATTGCAAGAGCCTGGAGGAAGGCGGGATCTGAAATGACAGGAGAGTTAAGATGAGCCAAACCAAACAAACAACAATATATGTGTCTAACTTGTGACAATATCTGTGTCTTAAAGTAAAGTAATTTCAAACCACAAAAACTAGTGCTTTGAACTTGAATGATAATGAAGAAATTACGACAAATAGTTTTGTCCCTAATAGTTGAATATGGTTGACCATTTCTATGGATTGTTTTCACATTAACACACACTTCACTCTGTGTATTCTGTCCTTCCTGTTTTTGTGCAGGGGGTCCTTTTCCGAGGTTTTTATGGTGAGAGAGAAGAGAACAGGAAAAATGTACGCCCTGAAATGCCTGAAGAAGAAACACCTCGCTCATAGCAACCTCGAAAATGAAATCAATGTACTGAGAAGGTAAAACACACACACACACACACACACACACACACACACACACTCACACTCATGCCTAATTCTCTTTCTTACTCTTTCAGGATACAGCACGAGAATGTGGTAGGACTGGAGGATTTCTATGAGAGCCGGACACACTATTACCTGGTCATGCAACTGTAAGAGAACTCCTAACTGTCACAAACTATTACTTTGGTAAAACTAAATATTGACAATGGGTCTAATTGAGGGTAAAGCAAATCTGCCAATAACAACAACATAGGGTTAGTGTGCTTCTTTTATGTATGGAGGCTTATAGTGTCTTTCCCCCCTTAAATTAATTTCACTCTAAAGTCAGAAAGGGATTCTAAATGTTGTGGTGCATGATTTTGTACACATTTTCCCTCTTGGTATATTGTGGTGTGTGCGATCTACATATACACAAAGTTCTGAAGTGTGTGTGTGTGTGCAGGGGTTGTCAGGTGGGGGAGCTTGTTTGATCGCATTTTAGATAAGGGGGTTACACCGAGAAGGACGCTAGCATGGTGATAAAGCAGTGCTGCAGGCTGTCAGCTACCTGCACGAAAACAGCATCGTACACAGGGACCTTAAGGTGATACACAAATAATACATCTGTACGTTTACAGCATTTTCTCTCTTTCCCTTTCTTTAACTTCCTTTTGATCTTTCTTTGTCCCTCTGTCTGTGGTCAGCCTGAGAACCTGCTGTACTATAACACAGACGAGAATGCGAAGATCATGGTGAGTGACTTTGGTCTGTCGAAGACGTTGGAGCACGGCGTGATGTCCACAGCCTGTGGTACGCCGGGATATGTTGGTGAGTCTTTTAAAAGCCACCTTGTTATTTATACCTGATATACAATTGTACATTTAAATAATACTACAACAAATTATGTTTTTATCTGGCAATATAATACAAGTGGTATTATTCAAGTTATTTAGTGACACAAATAAAACAAATCAATTAGATAGAATCGGAGGGATGAAACCCTCTTTAATGGTCACACATGCAGAGCACACACAGTTACATGTGTTCTCTGCTTTTAACCCATCCTAGTACCAGGAGTCTAGTACTAGGAGCAGTCGGCAGCTATTGTACAGCGCCTGGGGAGCAATGGGAGTGGGAGGGAAGGGGGATGTCCGGTGCCTTGCTCACGGGCATCCCGGCAGGGCCAAGGAGGTGAATTGGGAGTAGCAGTAGTACTCTCCAAGTAGCAGTCCACATTCCATATTTAGGTCTGTTCTGGGACTTGAACCGGCGACCCTACGGCTCACAGTCCAAGCCCCTACTGACTGAGCCACTGCCGGATATGTCTCTGCCTTTGACCCATCCTAGTGTTAGGAGCAGTGGGCTGCCATTATGTACGGCGCCCAGGTAGGGAACGGTGCCTTGCTCAGGGACACCTCGGTAGCACTTGGTCTTTCCCGGGACTTGAACTGGTGACCTTCCAGTTGCCAAGCCAAGACTTTGCCACACCGCCCTTTATTAAATTAAGAGCAATCATTAAAGTTGCATCATATAGATTGCATGCTATTAAAATGTACAAGTGCAGACCATACATCTGCTTCCTCAGCAAGGCAGTCAGAACCTCAGCAACTCTTACCAGTTCCTCCTGGAGGGTCCCAGTCCGAGGAGATACAGTATGCTTCGAGGTTCAAGGTTTTTTATTTTGTCATACGAACATAGCTACAGTGTAGTTATGACCAGGGCTGTATCCAGGATTTCCTAAATACCGAGGTCCAAACATGCTAGGGGGGTCCGGGGGTATACTCCCCCGAGATTTCCGGGATTTTCATGATCTAGTTAGGTGCTTTTTAAGTCCTGTGGGGGGTCACAAATTGGATAATATATCGATAACCATGTCAGTGGGCTGCAGCATACATTATTTTTAATCAGTTGATTGTTACTATTAATGATCTGGACATGCAGAAGAGGCTAAAATGATCACAACACATTGTCAACATTCATTTTCCATGTCTCTCTCCTTTCCATAACCTGCAGCCTCTCTTCCATCTTCTTTAGTCTCTCTGTCTTCTTCCTGTTCATTACTCTCTCTGTCCTCTACTCTCTCTCTTTGTTCAACCTCTCCCTCGTTGTTCACTTTTGCTCCTCCTCCTCACTTGTCGCTCCTGCCAGTGAATTAAAAGCAATTCAGCAATTTAGTTCATTTCACTTGTTTGTTTGCATTATTTATTTAAATCTGTTTTGTTTGATTCTCAAAAGAGAACAAAGATGTAAGAAAATTGTGTTTCATACAATTGTATGTTATTATGACATCATAACTGCAATAGATGTATGTTTTAAAATTATGCCTATTGTAAATGAAGACTATTGTTATAGATAAATAGATAAATAGATAGATATATAGATAAATAGACGGGGTTATTAAGCCTACATTCTTTGTGTGACTGTACCTGCAGTTCCTCCCTGACTTCCATCACTTTCTCTCTCTCTCTCTCTCTCTCTCTCTCTCTCTCTCTCTCTCTCTCTCTCTCTCTCTCTCTCTCCTCTCTCTCTCTCTCTCTCTCTCTCTCTCTCTCTCTCTCTCTCTCTCTCTCTCCTCTCCTCTCTCTCTCTCTCTCTCTCTCTCTCTCCTTCCTTTCTCTTCCTTACCAACACTGAGCTTCGACTGACGTAGTCTTTTCATTATATCTGAGTCAGTGTAAAAAGAAAACAATACAATGTTATATCTTCAATGTTTTACTCAAATTGAAATGAAAGAAAAACATTACAACGTTTGTTAAAAGGTAATCCTTCTGACATTGGATGAATGTAATTAACGTTAGCTCTCCAGCTAGTTTATTCACGCAATTTAAACCAAAGTATAGCCTATATCTGCAATATAAGTTAGTGTGCATGTTGTCGGGTGTCCACTGACTAACGTAGAGCGTTCACACAGGATCTGCTGCTCATATGATGTCCTGATGAGCAGAAACACAAGCAGCCCGCTGGACTCAGATCTCTAGATACCTCATCACTCCTCCGCTGCTCCGGTTCAAGTCCGGGCTGCGGAGGTTTGTTGATATGTCGTCTTCTTCTGTTTGCTTTAATCGAGGCTACGTAGTTATGCAGCGCCCCCATGGTCAGTAAATGGAAGTACTACAAAGAACCCTGTTTAGTGCAATTATTTCACAAGTTTTGTTATATACAGCTCGGAAAATATTACCGAGGTCCGGACCTCGGTGACCTCAATGGTGGATACGGCCCTGGTTATGACAATGACAATCTTAGGTCACAGGCTCCTCCAACAGTGCAACACAATTAAACAGATAAACAGAAATATAGTCAAAGTAAATAGTAAATAGAAAAATAGTTTAAAAAAGTGAAATAGTGCAATAAAAGTCTATGTGCTTCAAGTTTGAAGCACATTATGTGCCCATAAAACCTCCAGAGGAAGGCCCCCAGCAGGCATTCTGATCAGCTGTCTGAACCACATTCTGCCAGGGATATGGTTGAGGCTTTCCCCCAAGTTTTTAAATTACGCTTCCTCTAGAGGAAGTTCCAATTTTTTTATGGAGTATAAAGTACTGTAGCGTGTCAATTTCCATGGTCAGGCCCAGCCACGAGACTCTTTACCGGCGAGATTTCATCCTAGGTGGTCCTCTGTTGTGACTGGGTCTGAACATCGCAGTCTGGAGCTATCACCTCTGACATTGCAGCTCCTAGGTTTACTCACTCTGAACCATGATAAAGGTGGTGATTCTTGGAGGAGCAAACAGTCAAATCAGATTTCATTAAAAAAAATGTAGGGTTGAAGGGTGCATGTGCTTACAATTGTATACGTTGGAATGTTTGATACATGTTCAAATGTGTGAAATGCTTAATGTATTAGCAGTTATGAAGTACACATTGTTATTTGAAAAATAGAAGGAAAACAATAAAATTAGAGACATCCATGGTAAAAGTATCTATTTTGAATGTCTTCTTGCTCTGTTGGCTGAATTACTTTTGTGGTTCTACAGCCCCTGAGGTTTTGGCCCAGAGACCCTACAGCAAAACAGTGGACTGCTGGTCCATTGGAGTTATCACCTACATCCTGTGAGCACATTTCTGTTCTCTATCAAAACATAACACGTGGAAACAACCAATACAACATTTAGATAATAACCTAAAGGTCAGGAGCCTGAGATTTTACAGTAAATTCATTGATTTTGTTAAGAAATCATATTCTTCTCATAAGTTTGATACCACAGTCATGGCATATCTACATTTGTAAAATATCTTTGATGAGGATAATTAATTGGGATTAGCTGAGTTAGCTTGCTGTGTCTGAGTTGCAGGCTCTGCGGCTACCCTCCATTCTTTGAAGACAACGAGACGCGTCTGTTTTCAAAGATCATGAGGGCTGAGTACGCTTTTCATTCGCCTTTCTGGGACGATATCTCTGAGTCAGGTATGAAAACAGCAGCAAATATGAAAATCTCAGTCTTCACAAACAGCTTTGACATCTGATATCCCTGTCCTTTCTCTTCTGGTAATTGTACTGATTTGTATTCAATATTTGGACACTTTTCAAAATGACCGTGGCTTAGTCTTGGTCTATAATGTATATTATTTTAATAATAAAACCAAGTAACATTGTGAAATCAATATAAAAAAGTAAAAGGGTTAGATAGAGCATCAGCATTTATTTACACCTGAATCCGAAGCTCCCCTTGTTTCTTCAGAGCTTTTTCATCAGTTTTAGCTCAGTGTTTGTCTGGCCGTCCTGCAGCTTTACTGTTTGGATTATTTTCGGGTTTATATTGTGTAGACTTGGCAAGCAGCTGTTTTCAGTGAAAAAAGCTCTAAAACAACAAACTGACTAACTGGTGAACCAGATAGTTCCCTAAATAATTGTGCATATTGGACATACATCATCAGTTGGCCAAATGAATGATAACGTAGCTCCATAACATCCTGATGTATAAATAAGCAACTGAAGCTAATAAGGACCATGACCTGAAATGTGGCCATTTTTTTACATGCTAACTTTGAGTTATGAACTGTGTTCATTCTCATCAAGTTAATGTTGTTCTTTAAAAGCAGTTTGAGGATTCATTTGTCTATTCTTGAATAACAATCTTCTGTTACATGATTGGCTGATTGCTGATCTGCGATTGCTGATTACATGATTTTGGTTTCTTGGTAGGTTACCAAGAAACCAAAGTGCATCACAGCATGCACTGGGGCAAAAGATTCATTGACATAAGTCTAATGATATGTCAATGAATCTATAAGCATGCATGCTTTTCTGTTTACACTCAAATATCTTGGTCATGATCCAGCTGACATTTAATAGGTCTCTTTTGAGTGTGCGCTCAATAACTTGTTGCTCTACAATAATTATAGTTATCCATCTAAGAAGAACAAGGGAACTGGGCCACATTGCCCTGATGATAACACATGATAATATGTCCATGTTTTGTTCACAACTTGCTGGCTGCCCCCAAGTGAACAAGATTAATCCGTTTTTATTCAAAACACTTTACTTGGACTTAATCTACTAAATCACTCGACTGCCAAGGTCCTGACACACCAAGCCGATTTCGGCCGTCGATAGATGTCTGGCCGTCGATGAGCGTCCTGTCGCCCTACTCAGATTGGTGTGTCCCGCACATTACATTACATTACATACATGGATGTATAATAAGAACTGGATACAGCGTGGGAGGCGGGGCCTCGTTCATTCCTATGAGAGTTGCTAATTGGCGCATGAAGACAAAATGGCCCAACTTTTGAGAGAGAGAAACGTCACGAAAGTATTCATATAATCATATAATCTGTTCTTATTGTGCATCCATGGGTAAAGGTAAAACTCATGTAGTACTGGACACGTCACATGAACGTGCCGGGCACAAATGTTCATACTGGGTAGTTTATTTAGTTTTAAAAAAAAGTATCCAACGATTTACAGACGTCTCTTTCCCGATGTTAGTCAATGGGAAAAGTATTTCCGAGCCCAGCGACTGATACGAAAAGTGTAGTACCGCCGTTTGGCCACAACGAATATTTTCCTCAGAGTCCGGCGCACGACGGGACCTAATAAAAAAATAAAAACCTGAGTAAAAATGCAAAAAGAAAATGTAATACATGTTTGAAAAGTGAACATGAAGATGAAGAGGAGGTGTTAAAGGCAAATAGATATTTTAAAACCAATGCATTACAGGATCTACTTTCCCTGCTGTTTTATTTCCTGTTATGTAGCTTAAGCATTAGCACAGTGACTGTTACATACCTCCACTCCACAGGAAGACCAACACATGAAAATGTCCAGAAACACTGGGACAGTGCAACATAATTAGTGAATTAATGAACTTGGATAAGTCAAATTAAACACCATGTTATGTGTTTATACAATGGTATAATGAATCAAAAGGAGTTCTGTTATCGAATCTTAATATGCTGTGTTGAACAGAACGGAACAAACATGTATACCAGTTATTCAAGGCTCAATGTTCCTCAAACATCCAAGCATTAGTCTTTCCTGTGGATGGGTTTACTGTATTTCAGCGCAGCTTATTTTTCACATGACATACTTTCTCGGTTTTTTCCTTTATCTGGTTTAAGGGTCTCTTTTTTGTTATCTTTACGTCTGAGTCCTGCGCTCAGATTGTTGCCGTGTTTCGCTGGGGCCTAACAGTATAAAATGTGTGTAACATTGAAAAGGATTCACACATTATTAAATTGAAGGTGACCAAATGGGTATATTTCTATGCTAACAGCAGGAGTACTTTTTCTATATATCGTCAACTAACAGATGACCATTCCATGTCTCAACAGCCAAAGACTTCATCAGGAATATGATGCATAAAAACCCCACAAGACGCTTCCTCACCGAGCAGGCACTCAGACACCCATGGTGAGTCCTCTCTGTCTGACTGACACACACACACACACGCACGCACGCACGCGCCCACGCACGCACACACAGTTGATCTAATTTCATTGACTTGATTGCAGGATTGCTGAAAACACAGCTAAAGACGTGGACATTTCTCAGTCTGTGTGTGAGCAGATGGAGAGAAAGCTTTACCAAATCCAAATGGAAGGTGAGTCACACTTCTATTTATAAATAAAGCTTACGATGTCATCTTTAGCTTAAAGGTCCCATGTCTTGGCCATCTCTACTGATCATATTTCCATTGTTGAGGTCTACTAGAATAGATTTATATTGTTCAATGTTTCAAACTCACATTGGTTTCTCACAGCATCTCTGTATAGTCTGTGTATTCACTCTCTGTCCTAAACGCTTGTTGGAGCTCCTGCCTGTCCGGGCTGTCCTGACTTCCAGACACTGTCATGGCATACGTAGCAGCGGTGGTAATCTCTCGCTTGTATTTCACGTTTCCACATCAAGGCCTTCCACGCAGTCTCAGTGGTTCAGCAACATGAAGAAACTGCAGTCGGTTCCTTTCCGAGCCCCTCCCCCGACATCCCTGCAGCCCTGAAGGCCTGGACCCGAACGGGAACCTGGTCCCGGGGGCCAGCAAGTCCGTCCTGCCAGCAGTGCTGAGTGAGTTCCCAGAGAGAGCAAAGACTCTTCCTCTCAAGAGACTGACGGCTGCTTTCAGGCCCTCCAAGAGGTTGGGAAGCTGTTCCAGAGCCAGACAAAAATGTTGATATTGTAAGTAACTGTATTTGTGTACAGAGGTCTAGGTTTGAACAGATGACATATCGTCTATGATTATCTATAAATCTTTCCAAATGATGGTGTGTGGCAGTGTGGACCAAAGTTGTCCTCAGAGGAAGAAACCGCGTTCCCCAATCAGTCATCTGGAGTGTGTTCTGTCAATGTGATTGGCTGCCTAACCAAGATGAATCCCATGCAGGTAAAGAGTCATCACTCTTGTTCAGAATATAGATGTTAGTTAAATGACTCTTTAAAACCAACTTGTTCATATACTAACTCATTTTCAAAAATGTGTGTTTTTTTTTGTTAGAATTGAAGGCACTCATTTCGTGGTATGAAGATGTTGACACTCAGCTTTTTCCTCTCTGCTGGCGGTTTACACACATGGAGTATCTGCACTATAAAAAAACACTTTCACAAGCAAGGCCTGTTTATAATGAGAAGGAACAGAAACAACAGGAATTCATCATTTAGAATTCATACAATTTGTTGTTATGCTGATTGGATTTATTTTTCTGTATATAACTCTAAATATGTCACTAAATAAATACCATCAAAATGTATTTGTTTGAAAAGATTCATGTGAGATATGCAAACGTATTACGGGTTCTATATTGACTGACGTGGCTGCTATGAAATGTAACCGCGTATTTTTATAAACTGAAGCTTCAGAGTCATGTTGTTTGTGTGCTCTGTATCTTTTCTAATATTCCTAATGTATATTCACCATTGGACTTACAGAATTTATGAGTTAAACTTTTAAACATGCAAAGGAGATTTTAGGGAAAGTATTGTTATCTTCAATTCATGCTGGAGTTATAATTCTGATTTCCATTTTTACAAAAAGATGGTTTATTTTATTTATGAGAATGAAACTTGATTTCAGTGATATGTAAATGATCTGCTGTGTTGTTAAACAACTGAACTCATCAAGTGCCACACTCTGGAGGAAAATATCTATCACCACTAGTGATGTCATGGAGTATTCTAAATGAACACATGTAGTGACATTCTATAGGTATTAGTACTTGTATCTAGTACCATGCTGACATGTCCCATGAAGCTCCACGCAATGCATCAAAGTCATAAAAACCTTTATTTAAATACTACAGATTCTGCACAACAACAGATGCAATACAAAGAAATAAATAAGTTAACATTCACCCTTTTTCCGTTTTGTATTATTCAAATACAATAATTGTGGTGCAATGTTCACAGTGGAGTATTGCTGCTGACAAATCAATCCTATTTGTGTTTATAAATCCTATTTGTGTTTATAAATCCTATTTGTGTTTATAAATCCTATTTGGGTTTATAAATCCTATTTGGGTTTGCTCTTTGCTCTCATACAAACAGAAGCTGTGTTTTCTTTTCAAATAAAGTGCTAAATGATGAAAATGAAACTGATGGACTCAATATCACAATGTGTTTGACCAAATATTGAAATGCACCTACATAATGTCATAATACTGGTACTTTTAAAAGTATTTACACACATTCTGAGTTAAATAAATGGAACCCTCACTGTGTTACATTGACACTGTTACTTACAATGGTCTTTAATGTTCAATAGAGTTATTTTGGGATAAAGAGTACTCAGCTATGTGTCTTCCTGAACCCTCTTTCTGCCCCCTCCTTCTATCACATTCAACTCCAGATAATGACGTCCTACATTTCCCACAATTCATTGAACTGCCAGAGAAGAGGTATAGTGTTATAGACAGGAGTTATAGCAATGTTCAAAAGGAAAGAAGTGACAGCTTTCTTTCTGACAGTAGAAGCAGTGTGTGTGGGGGGGGGGGGGGGGGGGGGGGGGGCCTCTCAGCCATGGCAGATGGCAGATTTCAGACGAAGCTTTTCCAAAAGATCTTTAAGCTTGACATCCAGCCCTTCAAGCTTTGAGGACTTCTGTAGGATCTCGTCCTGCAGCAACCTGAGGGACTCGGCTTTACCTGAACAAAAGAAAGTAGAGGAAGTTACTGAGGGTGTGATCAAACACTGCAGGAACAACTTAAGTCAGTCAAAGTCAAAATACTACTGTCTCCCTTGGTATTATGTCATTGTCTGTGCCTTGCTTTGTAAAAAATGTCTGGTGTCTGTATATGTGACAATGGTTTTGTCGTCACCTGTTCTCTAATAATTAATTCTGAATAATAAAAGTGTAATTCTAGTTTCAAAAGTAACTCGTTATGAAAAGTGGATCTTTTCACAGTATCATATAATTATGGTTATTATATTATCCTGTTTTTAAACATGTACTGTACTTTGTCAATGTGCACCAAGTCTAGATAAATGAAATACTGCGTAGATTAGTAGTACAGCACCATATCATATTATGTTTTTTCATTTGTCCAAAGTAACCAGTAACTATGAGTGTTCAAATGAATTTAGTGGATCTTTACAGTATAGGACATTTGGTTCTAAAAGTTTGTGTGCAGTGGAAGTATAAAGTAGCATCAAATGGAAAAACAAAAAAAAGTACAAATATGTTTATTTCTGGCAATATCCAGAAGGCCAAAAGTGAGACTTAGGGACAAACTGCATGTAGATCAGTCATTACTTATAACCTCTTAGAATCAGAGGGGAGAGTTCGGGGGTATTTATCAAGCATCTCACATTCACCCGGTGAAATGACATTCAGCTTAATGGGGAAACGTTTCAAATCCTCCCTCAGCAGACAGGAAGACTTATTTATAAAGTGTTCTTATTTGAGAGTGACTAACATTACTAAAAGGTTAATGAAATTAAAAGTTGAACCACTCACTTGGTGGTTTGGTGTGCTGCATTACCAGAGGTGAAAGAAGTACTGAGATTTACTTGAGTAAACGTAGAAATACTATGGTCCTAAAATACTCCGTTACAAGTAGATGTGCGAAATGTTACTTAGGTAGAAGCACAGAAACAATATGTACCGGTACTTACAGTATCAAAAGTAAAAGTCCTTTCACAATATTCTATTTTTGATATCATATGTAATATCCTGTTTTTATCACTAACAAATACATATCAGGGCATTTTAATGTTGTAGTTTGTCAATGTGAAGCCAATTTAAGATATGTAAAATTAAAATACTGGTTTGAATGTTTGTATATTGGTAGTACAGTACTGCATCATATCATATAAGCAAATCACATGTTTTAATATGTTAAAAGTAAATAGTTACTATTAGTGTTAAATACATGTAGTGGAGTGAAAGTACAATCTTTGCTTCCAAAATGTAGTGGGGTAGAATAATAAAGTGTCATTAAATAGAAATGCTCAAGTAAAGTACAAGTATGTAACCTAATACAGTTATGTGAAATGTGTTGACATTAAACATTTAATTGAAGTTTTTTCAGTGTACTTTAGCATGGTACTTGAGTAAATGTACTTGTTATTTTCCAGCACTCTACAGTACCTTCCAGAGCCTCGGTCATGGTGTCGGTGGTGTTGGCCAGATCTCCAGCGTCCTGCTTTAACTTGGCCAGCCTGTCCCCCAGGGGCCCCGCCCCCCCCTCCGGGCCCTTGGCCGCAGCCTTGTCCTTCAGCTGCTGCAGCTTCTCCTCCAAAAGCACCAGGTCCTACAAACACACACACAGAAACACACACATATTTGAATTCTCCAACAATACGCAGCAACATTAACAGCGTTCCTAAATGTTTCAACACCGGGAAAATCTTAATGACGTACTCTGACAGCAGACATTTGCAAATGAAAAAAACCTGTTTCAGCTCATTTCAGGATTTATAGTACTCATTGGTGGAAAGTGACTTTGTACCTTTACTCATGTACTGTACATATATGAGGTACTTATATTTAAATTGAGTATTTCCTTTTCCTGCTACTTCATACTTCTACTCCACTACAATTTGGAAAATAAACATTCTACTTTTTACTCCGCTACATTTATTTGACAATATTAGTTAGGCTACTTTGCAGGTACAACATCTTATTACAAAAATGTAATGTAATGTAAAATATCAGCTGTAAATTGTATTGTAAAGTTAATAGATCATTCATTGGAATCCGGTGATAACATATATATTATTGTTTCTACAGTGGTATTGTTACTTTGACCGCCGCTGACGTTGATACGAATGCAAGTGGTGTGACCAAGTATTTGAGACACTTGAGTTTAGTAAAATGAAGAACACCAACAGCTATAACCTCAACCCCAGATGGTTCTACGTCCTCTTTGTTAACTTAAAGGTTTATTTAAAAACAGGCAGAGCAGGTCCCCCACCTCTTCAGCAGCATCTGCCTCATCTTGAGCCTTTTCTGCGTCTTCCTGTGCATCCTCAGCCAGCTGGCCTCCGTTCTTCAGCAGCTCTTTAAGCTCGTCCAGCTGAGGCTGCATCGGCTTTATCAGTTTTGACACATCATCCAGAGTCTTCTCCGCCGGGATCAGCTGCTCTTTGGTCTGCATGAAGAGAACCACCAAAGCTCAGTCATTCTTTCTTTGGAATGAATGTGCCCAACGTCAGCTACGTTTGATGTGTCCTACCTTGTTAAGGTTGTCGCTCAGGTTCTCTATGAGATCCATGCTGTTCTGCAGTTTGACATCCAGGTCAGCGAGGGAGCCCTCCTCCGAGACGATGCCTCCTAGCAAATTATCCACACCGTCCTTTACTCCTAGTGCCGTATCCCTGTAGTCAGAGAGAGAACTTTGACATCAACCTGACATAAATCATCACAAAAAGACACAGCAGAGCATCCTCGGGAGGAGAGGAAGGAGGGCCCTGTATTTCTACATTTGGATTTAAATTGTATTCCTAATAAAAACTATAGGAGCAACTTTTGATGCCCTAAATGTTAATTATCTCAGTCTTAGTAACAGGATAATAAGATCTGTGCGTGCCATTTTGGAATTTGGATTTGTTATCCTAAACTCAACGTAACTAGAACAGATGTGATGCTAGAAAAAAAGGACAATCTTACAATATTTGACTTGAAAATACTATATCTATTGTTAGAGAATATTTATTCGTTATTCCTAAGTGTCAAAGAATAATTCTTCCTTACTCCTAAGATATTTAACCTTATTGCCTGTTGACGTTAATAACAAATCCTGTTCGTGACGCCAGCTTTAAGGAATGTGCTCCAGCACTTAGTGTCAAGTTTTATGGCCTGATAGGGAGTTTTACGACTGTGGGAACACTGGCTTCGAGGCCATTAAGGGTCAGACGCAAATGATTCAGGGTGCCCAGCTGTTTAGTCTCTCCCCAATATGCTCATTAACTCTCTGTAAACTAGTTAAAAGGTCTATCGAGAGAGAGGCTGGGCAGAATTGACATGGCAACCCACCGTGCAGTCAGAACCTTTTGCTGCTGTGACTTGTGATGTGAATTCTCCGGCCGTATCCTTGTAATAAACTACCAGTGTTTGACATCAAAGCTCCAACTCTCCTCGTGTCTCTCTGAGTCCTGACTCTCCATTGCTGCAGAAGTTTCCCTTACAGATATAATGTATCGTACAAAATGATTGTGGTTTAAAAAACGTCAACATATTGATTCATGTTTTCAACCTGTTTAATGATATATATTCTGTGATGTAACACTAGATGTCCTTGATAGTAATTGCATTATTCATTTAGGCTCAAATCTGTAGTTTTTCCACCTTGGCTTTTTTATACGTATATTTTATTAAACAGACTGAAGCGTCAGCAGTGTGCTCCTGAAGGTTGAAGCCCACCTGGCGTCCTTGGCTTCCTGCAGCAGTTTCCTGGCTGTCTCCAGCTGTGGCTCCGCCTCCTTCAGCACGGCCGTGCTGTCAGGCAGGTTGGCGGCCAGGTCCTTCAGCTCCTTGAGCTTCCTCTTCAGAGCCTCCAGGTTGAGAGGTAATTTGGCTTTCAGGATCCAGTCGCTCACCTCCTGGATGTGGGTCAGGTTGGAGGAAGGGTCTGCACAGAGAACAACAGAAACAACTTGCCAATTAGTACTGGAACCAGGAGAGCCTGAACCTCAGACAGTTACAGCGGCGGTCCAGCTCTATATTGGAGCTAAGTGTAGAAATAAGCAGCAGCCTTCGTACCAATGAAGAAGTTGTAGCAGTGTGTCAGTCGGGTGCTATGGAAGCAATGCTTATTTATTTATTATATTTTTGGAATGCTCACGTTTGTACAAGTGGTTGTTAAATGCTTTTCGATGTGACGGAGCAGGATGTACTTTTTTAGAGATTTGTCTGTCTGTGTTGTGTAAAAACGTGTAAAATCCCTTGTCTTTTATCTGCATCTCCCAATGGGAACAAAGGAATAACCTGCACCTGGAACCTTCCTTCCATATATCAGGGGAGGGGGTCAGATGTATGTGGTGGGGCACCAGCCGCCCCTCGCTATATTCTGCACCACAATATTGTTTACCTGATAGGAAATCCTTGAGATCTTTCACAACGTCACGTGTCTCCTTCAAGTCGTCTTCTAGATCTTCTCTGGCCTGCTTCATCTTATTGGACAGCTTCTCTGCAGTCAGTCTCACCTGATTGGTGTTTTCCTGTGCATCCTGGAGCTGTAAGGGATTGATGTTGTGTTATACAATGCCTATAGAATCTGAAAATATTGCTTGTAAAACCGGAGCAGAGGTGTTGGAGTGTGTGTGAACCTTCTCTGCAGCGTCGGTGATCTTCCCAGAGAGCCGGTCCAGTCGCTCCTTCACATCCTTCACATCAGCGTCGGCCCTCTTGCTGAGCGGCAGGGCGCCCACACACTTTTCGCCCTTTTTACAAGGTGGGGTTCCCTCCGGAGGACACAAGTCTTCACCCTCACACTTCAGAGGGGTGCAGGGCTCTGAGCGGACACTGCCACATACCTGAGAATATAGGAGCCATGGTCTCATTGTAGGAAAAAGCCATCAAACAGCAGGTGTTGATACAATTCTCAATTAATGCAAAAGTAATCAACCAGTATCTTCAAAGCTGTAGTTTTGATAATGCTCAGTGATGGATAGTAACAAAGTATAATTACTATTAGTATTAAGTGGTACTTAAGTACAATTCTGAGTTACTTGTACTTTACCTGAGTATTTTCAGTGTATGCTACTTTTTACTTCCACTACATTTTACAAGCCAATATTATACTTTTTGCTTCACCACATTTATTTGACAGCTTTTGTTTCTAGTTACTTTTTAGGTTTAGATTATTAGCTAATAAGAAATCTTATTAAATAAACTGATATATATTTCTTGTTAAAGATATCCAACAGCATATACAGTTATTTAAATTAGCTCTACATCATATACCAGTTGTTATAGAAATAAATCAATAATCATAATAGTAACCCAGAAACTCAATATATATAAGATTCTAAAATGGGCTATCATGCAAAGTAGTACTTTTACTTTTGGTACTGGCATATTTTGCTGCCGATACTTTTGTACTTTTTGAATGTAGTATTGCTCAAATCTGAGTACTTCTTCCAACACTGATCGTGCCACAAAGCACACTATCTGTCTCCCTGCCTGAGGCTGGCAGTCACCTGTCTGGCAGCAGGAGTGAGGTCCGGTCGGGAGGCTATGTCTCCGGTGTTGGCGGGCTGTATTTGGTCGCGAATGTCATTCGTCTCTTTTCTGAGATCAGCTGATTCCTTTACTGGGGTTTTGCTGTCATCCACTTTCTTAGCTGCATCGGTAGACTCGTTGTAGGCGTTCTTGATGGTAGAAAAAGCTCCTAATGGGACAGTTAAACAAAACACAAGTCAATTCTACGATGTCCCCATATAAGAACGTATTTTTGAGAGAAATGGTGGAAATGGTGCATTTTGATTAGAGCCACATAAGAGAAATTCTATTTTACCCTCCTGTTTTGTTCTAACTTTGGTGTTAACATAAAAACCTACAAAATGTTATTTAACACCCTTTTAATCTGTAAAGAATGTCTCAGACCAATGGTACATGAATAACTGCAGTAAATATACAAAGAATAGAATAATGTATTCCAAAATTAAAATGTTATCAAATTGTACTATCTGAAGAACATAATCTGGGGTTACCCATTCATTTCCGATGGCGCTCATTTTTAACCGGGAACATAGTTGACTAAACCATCATAATGTAATGAAAGTGGTGATCAGCTATTTCAAATGTTACTGTGGAGGATATCATCCGGCCTCAAGGCAATCCAATGACAAACACAATATTTATGATTGACTAAATGATGAAATCAGTCAGATTTGACCCGGACACAACAGGAGGGTTAAATCATGCACACAAATAACTGCACACAATGATCTGTCACTAGGTGTAGTGTGCAGCGTGACGGTGTGTCCTTGTTTCTCACCGGAATTGTTTTGAGTGACGGAGTTGTCCTTTGCATCTTTCTTGGCTTTGTACTGCAGAGTGAGACTGTCCAGCAGAGCCTGCAGTTTGTCCAGCTCTGAGCCCAGACCAGGAGTTCTTTCCTTGGGTGACAGCTCATTGTTGACCTTGTCCACCTGGTCCCTGCAAGACAAAATTAGGCACCAGTTAGAGAAAAAACCCAGAAGTTAGCGGGTTCCCATGTGTCCTTGGTGGAGCCTTACCTGAGCTTGTCCAGTTTGGACAGAGCTTCATCGATCTGTGTGGTGGTATTGAGTGGAAGAAAGATGGATCCCCGGATCAGGTTCAGGCTGTTCTCCAGGACCCGGATGCGAGGTCCAAAGTTTCCAAGATCACCAGAACCTCCAGGACGGGTAGGGATGCTGGGGGAGAGTCTCCCCAGGGCTGAGCTCAGGTTCTGTCTCTGGGCGTCCAGCGTGAAGAAGCAGGAGGGACATGTGGTGCAGCCCGGGAAGGAGTCGCAGTGTCCCCGACTGCAGGAGTCGCAGCGGGGCCCCGTGACGCCCGGCCGGCACAGACACACTCCGGTCTGCTTATCACAAACTTCTGGAAGTGTTCCTTCAGCATCACACCGACACGCTGCGGAGGAAGAGACCATTACAAGACGATAATAAACACTAAGGGGACCCTCAGGGGCCCACACAGTTTAATAAAGTTGTATATAATAATATAAAACTCTAATACCTCAGTCATTAACACGAGAGGCACAATACTACAACTGAAAATGATCTACACATTACACTTTGGTTGAACAGTTTATATATAATAAATATAAATACACATTTTAATTATTATATTTTTTGATATACATTTTTATAATTTCATAACAAGACAGATATCACTACACACTGACCACACTTGTTCATGTTGTTATAATGCATTTTCCACGTAAATGTCCAAATATATTTTTACATGAATCGCTAGACACAATGATTACAGATATAGTAGCCTTGAAGAGGCCTGCTTCAATTGGAATGAAGCCCCCCTGTACACCCCACTACAGCAGCCTTGGTTCATGTCTTGAAATAAGCATTAAGAATGGACCTGGGACTGTAATCTGGTACAAAAACATAACTGAGACCAGATTAGCCTGTGCTAAACACGGGATCTGTGAGTGAACAATATCTTGTTATTATTTATTTCAATTAAGTACTGTCAGTCCTGCACAACCCTTCGAATGTATTTCACATTTCTATACAAAGCTACCTCTTTTAATATCTGCACAGCTTTCCAATTTTTGTAACAATGCACATAATTAATGTATTTTGTCTATTTGTTACCCTTTGTTTTTGGTTTATCAATATTTCATGTAAATACTTCTCTATATTTTTATGTTATAATAGTTTCTTTATTAAAGGAATGGTATGCTCATGACACTCATTTAATTTTTTTTATCATCCGATAAAACAGACCAGTCTCTGCCAGTCTCTCTTTTTTTTTTTTTAATCCGATGACATTATCAGTGATTTTAAACTGATTAATTACCGAAATAACATCAACACTGTGGGCGGCGCCATTTTACCGGACGTGACGTAAACCATGCGTTTGGTTTCGAGGACACGTTGATGTTCATGTTATTTACTGTAGTTACTCTCTTCAAATATGCCTCATTGTATCGCGAAACATTGCCACAATTCAGATAGGAACAATCCACGGAATGCTCGGTTCCATCTGTTGCCAAAAGGTAAGCGTAGGAAGTACGTTCGGAGGCAGTGGCTAGCGAAATGTGGCCGGCCCGAACCGAAAGATCCACAGGCATGTATGCAGCGAACATTTCAAGTTTCCGGACGACTACTCTGAGAGTATGATAAAACATAACATGGGATTTATTGAACAACCATTACTTAATGGAGATGCAGTACCATCGGTCTTTCTGGTGTCATCACCGACCAGGACACCAGTTCGGCCAGTTGAGAAATCGCCCTCTGCAAGTGTGAAGCGACGGAGGACCAGAAGTAGTGCTCGGAGTAAGAATAAGGTATGTTATGGCGCATTTCCATTGCAGCGGGTAGCCCCGTTTAAACGTCCTTTATCGTCCAGGCCAGGCCAGTTTTTGGTGGCCTTTCCATATAGCGTAGTACCGGCTAGTGGGTATTTTCCCCCAGTTTTTCCGGCCCCATAAAATCGTGGTTCTAGGGCCAGGGACAACGAGGCTGAGTATGCTAAACTAGAGAGGGAATCGCTAGCAAGGGTAGTACTACATGCATACATATCTAGTAATCAAAATCATTGTATCTACTAAGTAGTACTAAGTAGGCTCGAACCTGTATGGCTGAATTCCCCCTTCCAATCTCTTCATATTGCTCAAAACTTCTTCCTCGGCTGACGAGTCCGAACTCAAATACTCCAAGTTTTCGTGTGTTTACAAAGTGAACGCATGGATGACGTCACGACCATCACGTGACTACTGAAAATGGGCAAAATGGCAGCGGCCTGACGGAATATACAGGTTTTGATAAAAAAGAGCTATAAAATCATTATTTACCGGGGAATATCGCTGATTTCTTCAGGGTATGGTTTAAACATAATGTTTCACTAAATACTGAAGTTTTGATTAATTATCTAATGAGTGGAGCATTCCTTTAAATATTTTTTTTTTTGGGTTGTTTTTCTTACAATGTATCTTCTTTAACTGTGTTTATGTATGCACCATATACACCTAGGCAAATCCCTGGTATGTGTAAACTTACTTGACAGTAAACCTGATTCTGATTCTGAACCTTTCTTAAATGTGAATCCAACATGTACTGAATATACTCAATTAAACAAGATACACTTGTACCATGCACCGAGACAGAAAACTAATCTCCAATGGAGTAATGACATTCCATGACTCCAACAAATGGTTTATGAACCACAAAAGGAGTAATCAGGGGCGCACCTTGCGAACAGGCAAGGCAGGCGACTGCTTGGTGGCCCCAGACCAGAAGCGGGCCCCCAAAGAAGGTATATTAAGAAGGTCCACAGCAACGACAACATGAAACACCCTTTAATTCACTGAAACGACATGTCGGGAATCCCCCTCAAGGCGGCCCCATGCATAGCGTGCCGTAAAATGCTGCTTATTATCTTAAGTTTCGTTGCCTTAAGTTTAGTTGTCGCCTGTGCGTGGTGATGAAAAGCTGGTTCGAGGGGCCCCCAGTGAATGTTTGCCTAGGGCCCCCACATACTCTAGGATCGCCACTGGGAGTAATGAGAGAGAGCTCACGCTTGCAGCCGATGAGAGCGTCTCCGTACGTGTTGTCGGGGCACTCGGTGCATCCTCGGCCTCCAAAGCCCGGTCTGCACTGACACTGACCGGTCACCTGGAGAGGAGGAAACAGAGCTGATTTTCAGTGTAGTCACATTGTCAGTTGATATTCACTGATGCACTAAAAAAACAGAGACGTTGACTTAACTAAATGAATTATGTCAACAAATCATACACAATTGTTTTAGGTTAGTTAAAACAATTAGAAAGCAATAATATTAAGTTTAAATAAAAAAAGAATAGGTTTACTATTGCTTTCAACTAACCTAGTACAATTATGTAGAACCTGTTGACGTAATACATTTAATTAGAGTCAATGTTTCGTGAAACAATCATTTGGGAACGATTAAGGGATTAGGGGAAACTTATTGAATTTCATTTGTACTGGTATTTTAGTCAAATGTTCTATTACTCTTTGGGGTCAAAGGTGGTACCTGGTCACATGTGTCGCTGTAGGACCTGGTGGGGTCACAGTTGCAGGGGGTGCAGCGTCCTGACAGAGAGGGTTTCCAGTAACCTTTAGAACACACTTCACAGGTCAGGCCGTGGAAGTGAGGACGACACGGACACTGGCCGGTGATCGGGTCACACACCTCTGTCAGAGAGCCGTCCACAGAGCAGGAACACTCTGCACAGAAGGAGCAGTTAGGAAGATCCCCGGACACACACTTCAGACTGAGTGATCCACTGCAGTAACAGTGATAGTATAATGAAGGTTTCAAATGGAAGCTAAAGAAGAGAGAAACATCTGATATCTGGGGATTATGTGTTTAAGGATTCTCAAATTCAGGAGCATGCACTGAGACCCTTCCTCTGATCAGGCTAAGCTAGTATTGCTGAAACAAAGTGTGATATACAGTATATTATTATTATTATTATTATGTTACACTCACTGGAGCAGCCCAGAGGGTTGGAGGTGCTCAGTCCGTAGTAGCCTCTCCTACAGCGGTCACATCGGGGCCCTTCAACATTCACCTTACACTGACACAGACCTGTGCTGTCGTCACACCGGCCCCCGTTCACCGTCCCCTCAGCACTGCACACACAGCCTGCAGCAACAACACAAGGATGTTATACAAGAGAATATTTTGCACATTTTGCATTCTCAATTCAAACATTCATGCCATAGTAAGATTTGTTTTGTGTTGTATAACATAACGTTCAGAGTGCTTTCCATCCCACTGATGATCCACTCACGTAGGCAGGCATCAGGGCGGTCCATGTGGCTGTGGGGGTTGGGCTGGTAGCCTGGGGCACACTGGTCACACTTTGGCCCTGTGGTGTGGTGCAGACATCCCTCACACACACCTCCACTCTTCCACCCGCTGGCCTCGTACACCGCCTGGTTGAAACGGCAGCGCTGAGCGTGGTTGTTACATTCACAGCCTGAGGAGAAAAGAACAGTAATAATTAGTTAACTGTTGATATTTGATCCCCAGCCACTGCAGGCAACATGTCCAATAAACTAAACCCCACATCAGAAAAGGCTTCAGTGTGTGAGTGAAGGCTCGTCTCATGAGCAGGAGCACTTTGTGTGGCAGGCAGCCTCTGCCTTTGTATGAATGTTTTAATGCTGACTTGTACAAATCAGATTTCCTGTTTTCAGCCTCCACCGTGACAGAGCTGGACACCAGTGAATGCCAATATCAACCTACAAGGTTAGCAGTGATAAATACAGGAAATGACCTCACCCAAACTGCAGAGGTGGAAGAAGTACTCAGATCTTGTACTCAAGTAAAAGTAAGTAGAAATACCACAGTGCAGGAATACTCTGTTACAATGGAATGGCTGCCCTTTGTAGAGATTGAGATTTAAGAAAAATGTGCAGTCTTCTCTTCATTTTTCTCCAGAGCTGTATGTGTGTTATAATGATTGATCAAAGTGTTCTCAAAGCTGGTGAAGGTGCAGCTAGTTTGAATGACTTTGTATACTGCAGGGTAGCTGGTGGATTTACTCCAGGTGGAACTAAAGTCTGATTCAACACTTGATTACATTTCACATCATTCATCCACATCTGTGAAGTAACTAAAGGGATTAAATACATGTAGTGGAGTGAAAGTACACCATGTACCTCTGAACTGTAGAGGAGTAGAAGTACAAAGTAGCAACAAAGTACAAGTACCTCAAAATTGTACATAAGAAGTGTACTTGAGTAAATGTACTTAGTTACTTTACACCACTGCAAGACTGTAGCCTTATGTAAAGTAACTTCTTCCACTAACTGCTCACTACTTGATTTAATCGCCTGCTTGTTTAGAGGAGGTGAAGCAGGAGCAGGTCTCACGTTGGCAGGCGTGTGTGTCCCCCTCCTCTGCAGGGCTCCAGGGACGGTCGTTGTAGAGGTCATCACAGCGCTCACAGTTCACACCTGCTGTGTGATGCTGGCAGTCACACTGAGGATTCACCTGCAGAGAAACACAGAGAAAGGATCACTGCAGCAAATCAAATAATAATAAACAAATACGGTTCTGAGACATTTGGGGTCGAAGCTGGGTTTAGCATAGTTCACTGAACAATCTGAAACGTTGACTTTAACTAAATGTATCATGTCAACAGATTTCACATAACTATTAGGTTAGTTGAAAGCAATAATATTAAGGTTAAGTAAAAACATTAAGTGCAACTTATTATTTTTGCACTCAACTAACCTAATACAGTTATGTGAAATCTGACATAATACATTCAATTAAAGTCAACGTTTCACTTTTTGTGAAATAAACCAAAAGCAGGAATAAGCTGTAAGAAAAACATTTGCCTACCAGCAACTCCATAAACCCCCCCTTCCTCAAACCCCCCCACACACCTGTATGCCGCTGGCCTGCGGGCTGCTGTAGGCCTCTGGCAGGCACCGGTTGGCGTGTCCGTGGCACATGCATCTGCCCACCACCTTCATCTCCTTCAGGGCGTAGAACCTGCTGAGCGCTCTGCCTGGCACCCGGGGGACATCGCCCAGCTCTGTGAGCCTCACCCTCAGCCCCGTCACCCCCGACACATCTGAGGGGGAGAGAGCAGGTCAGCAGCGTACCCTGTGACCCAGTGAACTCATTCATGACAGACAATTGAGAGACTCACCTTCAATCTTTTGGCTTTTGGAAGCTGGAACATAGGCATACTGACGCAAAGGACTGTATTGGATCTGGAAAAGAGACATTTAAATGTCATTTTAATTTATATAACATCATTGTTTTCCTTCAGTGTGATTTGCTCTTATTTCACAACACAATGTTTTTTTCTTTCTTTGTGAATGCATTCCTGCCCAGGCTTTAACAGGTTGGAACTGCGTGTATACTTGTCTAAACATCACATTTATCATGAGTTAACGCTAAATCAATTACACATTTTTTCCAAAATTACACAAAACTGCAGGAATTAAATCTAGTTTGTAAAGGTGTTTATTTTTAATAATACAGTTAATTTAACCCTTCAAATCACACACAAATCACAAAGTGTTTATTGCCTTAAAACCTACCTAGATATTTTCTAAAGAGAGCAAAACACCTTACACTGAATTTGGCCAAATTGTTTGCCCACAAGCAGCACAAAAAGAAGACACTGAAACAAGGTCTTCTTATGCTGAGGACATCACAGTTCTTCAATTTAATAACAATACACATTTAAACAATGTTAGATCTTATTTTAAAATCTGACAGAAACGAAACATTTAGAGAAATGAGCCTTGAAAAAGGTAAAGCCTTACGGTGTGATCTTGGTATGGGCTTGCTCCAGTAGGGGGCAGTGTGTAGCAGTATGTGTGTTCCAGAGTCAGAGGAGTTGCTGTGGGGATGCCAGGAAAAGATTTTGCACAGTCTGTAGCCAGGTACAGGGCGGGCTGCCACCCCTTGCCGTCATCCAGAGTCCTCTCTATAACTAAGGCATTGGGACGAGGACTCTGCGGAGAAATACAAGTGCTCTGTGATGCAAAGATACAATACCATCCTAAAGAAGATTTAAACATCCATCAAACAACAGAAGTGAGTGTGTTTCTTTGTGTTGGTGTGATCCAGCATACCTTAAAGCTGAGCTGCAGGTTGTCCAGCTGGAACAGATTGCCCAGGTCCAACTGGAGGGTCACCGGGGTCACCTCTACAGGAAACACAGCAGCACACATGTTCACAGAGAAATACTTTAATACTCAAATACATGTTTCAGATAGATTTCATGACGTTTGGTTTCCAACAGCCAAGGACAGCACTATTTTTCTTTCTTTATCTCTTTCTTTCTTTCTGTGCCCACCTTTCTTGGACTGCCACCATCTCTGCGGTCCGGCGGTGGACAGGACGTCCCGGACCGTGTGGGCCAGCCGAGCGTTTGGGTTGGTGGAGTCACATGGACAACACTTCATCCTCCTCTAAGAATCACAAAACAAACAAACATCAGTATCAACGCGCTTTCCCACAGAACTGCATTGTAATATGTGTGTATGTCCAGTGTCATTAGGGGCAGGCACAGCCCCACCTAGTGTCAGCAGAAAGTAATGCAAATAATAATTCCCAAAATATGCAAAAAATATATGTTAAAATATATTCTAAGATCATGTTTAGTCATCTGATTCGTCTGTACATTGCTGTTTTAGTCTGCGTTCTTCTAATTAGTGCCGTGTTTCTCAAAGTGGGGGGCGCGGGTGCAAGACAGTGGGGCAAGAGACCAGGAGGAAAGATTGTTATGACAACAAAAATAAAGAAATACAAAAATAAATTCATAATTTGAACAATTATTGATTCGGAAATAATATGCTACAGTACAAGTACGTCTGGAGCACGGTCCATTTGTGACACCTGTGGAACGTGACTAGTGAACGTGAAATTAATTATAAAATACAAATCACAAAACCCCGATACAATTTGAAAATGATTTCTAGCAACACAACACCGGTTTCCACAAAGCTAACTGAGGAAAGGTCTTTCTAAGATGAGTATTACCGTGACACTTCATGTGTTTGTATTTGATGAGTCAATATGATTCAAGCTTGAAAGCATAAAATAAACATTGTCGTTATAAGCAGGAAATAAGCATTGAATTATAATCAGTATTCTTTTTCTTATAAAAAAAACAGTGCATCTTTTTTTAATGACATGAGAGGATTAAACTCTTACAAAGTTGGCTGTGTTCATGTCATGTTGACCACCACCTCTCCTCAGTTAGCTCAGAGGCTTATAAACTTGCCATGTGTGGGTTAAAAGTGATTTCATGTGGAGGCTTTTTCCCAAGGTTTGTGGCTTTTGGCACTGAGGCCCGTCACCAAACAGTGTGTGCAAGCTCACTGTTTGCATTTAGATATTGCCAACTGCTGTTGCACCAACTGTACATGTTATTATGGTAGAAACACATTCAAAATACTTTTTAAGTAATAGTCCCACATTAAGAATATTACTAAAACAAAAGTGTGTTAGAAACACATTGGAAAGGATAAGTGTATGTGGGACATGATACCTGTAATATACAAAGTGTGTGAGAGTTTGATGTTTTCCTATCATTTAGCTGTTTTGAAACGCAACCCCATTTATTTGAATTCATCAAGATTTTTCTCTCATTCTGGATTCCTTTCATAACGTGGAGGCAAAACAATAGTTCACTTCAAGAATTCAAAATACGAATTGGTAATATCATAATCATATCGGGTGTTAAGTATTATTATATGTTACTAAATGTGCTGCTCGGAGCAACGTGATGACGCAGAGCGAACAAGATGGGACTGGCCCTCCGAGCTGGAAGTGAGGGCTTTACTATTGTGGCTCTTTGCTGGTAGTTATGAGTGTGTGTGTGTGTCAGCGCTGAGGTACAGCTGAGTGTTGTGGCCCCTCCCTGACTGGACGAGGTGCGGCTCAGGTATTACAAAAAGGGAAAGCATTGATCAGTCAGAGAGAGTCTCCCCACCCAACTCAGCTATCCATGCCCTGAGGCGCTGCAAACACACACTGTGAGGGACGAGGGTTACACAACATCACACACGTCCTGATGCTCTGTCTTGAGGAGGGTTTGTCTGAGGTTAAGGTTACCTTAGTAACTAGACGGAAACTGATCTGATAGTTGGAGGACATTTTCTACATAACAACACAATAACGCTAACATGTGCTAATTAACTGTAACTCAAGTACTGTCTTTATTATAACGTGCAGGAACTTTACTTACACTATACAGAAGGTAGGAGTTCAACAACATTACAGAGAAACTATCTTGAAGGTGGGATCACACACACACACACACACACACACACACACACACACACACACACACACACACACACACACACACACACACACACACACACACACACACACACACACACACACACACTCTACAAGTACCTAAGGTACATTGTACTGCAGTTTGGAACCTCTGGGCTTCTGTCCAGCTCCTGACCTGTGCTGCCTTCTCACTCTGTGTTGCATCATTCTTTTAATTATTATTTATTTGACTATTATTGAACTAAAATACTGCCCTCAAAAAAAATGTTGTAGAACACATCTTTAAAAACAATCTCTGTCTGGGGGAATTCTGACAGCACAGCAGACAAACAATACCACATTTAAACTTCAACAAGATTAGATGTTGTAACTAAACGTTGAAACTATTCATCAAAGTTCCAGTGCAGTTTCACCACAAACAAAATGTCAGAGTGATACATCATGAAAGATGATCTGTTGGGTTTTATCTCACGTTCTCTCCCCTTTTGGTGCAAAACATTTTCTGTATGACTCTTGCTCACTTTTTGACCTCTGTCCTCTCTTATTACAAGATGTAAATCCAGTAAGAGGGTGTTTGTGCTGAGCCAGCAGATGCACTGATTTTTCAGACGCTGGTCAAAGAGAACAGTTGCAACATGATGCCCTGGCATTGAAATTAGACTGTTTCACAAATGGGCTGTGGACAGTGGCCAAACCCCCGCAGCCTCCCCCCTGTCTGTCTGGTCACCCTGACCCCTGACCCCCCACGCACAGAGCCATGCGAGGCCCGGCTGAGACGTGACTGGGTGGTTTCACTGATATCAGCTTTTGAGGGAGATGTGCCTTTTTTATGTTTTCTCCACATATTTGACCCAACAGCTCTTCTAAGCAGCCCCCCTCTGCATAGCAGTCTCCCTCGATCAGGAGCGTTTACTGAGGTTTGATTACAGGGGATTTTAGAGGGTTTGTATAAAATTGTAACACAAACCAGAGACACTTGTGTCATCACATCTTTGATGGTTCACACAGGACTGTCCTACCTGTTCGTATGGGGTGCAGTACACCTCGGAGCCCGTCAGGCCGCAGGTGGAGGAGGCATGGAGCTGGTGAGACCGGCCCAGCAGGAGGTCATTGCTGGGGGGGTAACAAGCCCCTTGAGAGCAGTCAGTCTGGGCCTGTGATACTGCAGCTATGGCTGTCAGGAGGGGGCAGCACAACAAGAAATGAAACGTTACAATGGGTTTTATAACTATATGAACAATGTAAGTCCTCACAAACAGGAATCTCACACTTCACAGCAAATACTGACATTAATCATGCAGGGCCGATCCTAGAAGGAGGGTCTACACAGGAAGTCAAACTAACTTTCCCCTGCACTCTGCGCAGTAATGTTTGGAATGTTAAAGATTGTTTGTGTTAAACTAAAACACACCACAAATCCTCTAAAATGTTGTGTTATCTGGATTAAATAAATTATCTTTCATTTATTAATATATTTACTTTTTTCTACTCAGCAGATGGGAAAGTATAAATATTTAAAAAACGTAAAACTCCATGACATTGGTAATTAAAAGGCATGTAATCCCTTACAGTAAGTGTTTTGATATAATATGAATGTCTCTTTACAACAGTAGAATGTAATGCCTTTTACTACAATGACCTCAATCACATGATACTTTATCAAACCAACCTAACCTGATTATATTGTTGATATTCTGCCTAATCCAACCTTTAAAATGAATTCCCTAATCTATCTATATACTCACCCCTAATGAAGCACAATGTCTGCAGTAGGCTACTCAAAACGGATGCTTTCTCAAAGGGTAGACACAGCCAATGTCACTCATTGTGTCTGAATTGTATATAAATGTTATTTGTACATTTGTACTAACACGGTTACGAATATAATTTATTTTGTTAAATTTGAAGAAAAAGGTGTTTTAAGTATTTCCCCTAAAGTAGGGTGAAATCATTCGAAGAGAGTATGCAGGATTTCATTCCAACCAATCACTGCAGCACAGATCAGGTTAGTTTCAACTCTCTGCTAGAAAATGCAGAGACGCATAATCAGCTGCTGTAGTGTTGGGCTGGAAAACCTGGTGAAAGGTGCAGGACATACTTGAAACAGAAAGAGAGCACAAAAGCAAAAGGAAAAAGAACACATTCTTACCAGCTAAAAGTAAAAGTAGTCTCATGTTTTGTTCGTCCTATGAAAAAGTCTGTTGAGAAAACAAAACAAATATCAGCAGGCGGGAACGATCGAATAGAATCAAAGCCAGTCGTCTGTATTTCCTGAAGTGGGACTCACCTGCAGTGTGTGTGCTATCAGCTCTGTTATCTGCTCTATATAACTGTGTTGCTGCCAAGCTGCTGCGTTATAAACACGGTCTCACCTGGGCGCTATGACACATTGTGTGTAAGAGTCACACCCTTCCCCTCCACTCCCTTCACTCCATGAATCAACACACACACACACACACACATACACACAGACAGACAGACAGACAGGAAGGCAGACACAGTCAACACGAGGAAACCACAAACTTAAAAAGACTCATCCAGGTGTAATACAACACAATCCTGACCTCAAATATAAAACTTAAACGGAGCTCCAAACATTCCATCTACTCATTGAACCAGTTAGAAAAACATCAAATGTTCGTAGATGTGTTTCTTGTTACGGTGCAGGCTAAAACATGTCTTTACAAAATCTAGTATTTACTCTCCCAGATAACTCTTTTTCATGCAGCACCATCATCATGTTAGCATTTGAACATGTTAATGTTAGCATAGCTCTAAGCACAGCCTGACAGCGCGTGAGCAAGGCTGTAAACCAATGTAATAACTAGTATGTCATTTGTATTTGTGACACATTCTAATTCCAAACTGAATGCTATATGCAATTAAAACAAACTCTGATTGTATTAGAATCATACAGCTGCTATACACTTTAAGAATACATTTTAAAGCACAGAAGCCTTAGTGAGTGAAAAGACACTTTTATATGAACTACATTTAGATATCCACAATAATGTTTTCAATAGTCAGAAAGACATTTCAGAAATCCACAAAGTCATCATTTGACAGGACCAACTCCATCACTTTTTATCATCCATGTTTGGCTTTCAATATCGATAGCCATAAGGCCATTTTTGATATTCGCAGTAAAAGTATTACTTTTAAAAACTCACTTAAAAAAAAATACAATCAAATGTTCACGATTAATAATTAGATTTTCAGTTGTCAAAGGTGGACCCGCTCTTTGTTTGCTCAGATTCTTCCCCACAGTGGCTGGCAGAACACATTGAACCTTAACATTCCTTAAACGCCGGGGACTATCATGTCTCAACATATCAGAACCATGATGCCTTAGTTTGAATCTGTAATAGCTATTTATTTATCATGAAATGTATGTTACACTTAAACACTGTTTTGTGTTTTTTCCATTCATAAAAGCAGATTTCTGGGAGGGGGGGGGGGGGTACCCTGTCAGATACATGCCTGTGGGCGGTCTTACCCAGCCTGTGTGCTAACTCTGAGTGTGCAGTGCTGCTGATCATCACCTCTGTGTAAGAAATAGTAGCCTGAGGGCAGCTGAACACACGTCATGTTTTTCTCCATTCTCCTCAGACACACTGACTAAGTCCAAGCAGGGTGTGTCTACTGACTCAACTAACACACACACACACACACACACACACACACACACACACACACACACACACACACACACACACACACACACACACACACACACACACACACACACACACACACACACACACACACACACACACACACACACACACACACACACACAACTTCAGGCATGTACGGTCACGACTTCAATTACACAGGAGATCAGATATAACTGTCTTTTATTCTTCTTGGTAACATCCTGCTGTTTCCTCTCTGTCAACCCGATCCCTTGGTTACAGTGAAATTGAGCCATGACTGCCTTTTTAAAGAATCACAAGGTGACCGATAAACATCACTGCAGAGCAGATACCTGGGAAGCACCTGGGAAACAGTGGGGAAAAGAAACTAGAACAAAACAAGTTACATTCACATAATACACTTCTGTGTGCCTGAACACGTTTCTGCACTGTTACTTTGGATTATGTGTTCTTCATGTCTACGGAATGTTTTGTACAGGGATCTATTGCTTTTAGCGTGGTGTTATTACAACGTACATGTGAGAGGATCATTGCACTCCTCAACAACTTTTTGTAAAGAACATAATGTTTTTGGAACTTAAAGACAGGGTTGAACTAGCCACAAAGCATGTTATACTATTACAGCAAATACTTTCCATACAGTTGAATCTTCGTTTTTACCGACATACATCTGAACATTAATGACAGAGCAAACCAATGGCGATTGATTCATGTCCATGTAGCAAACAAAGACAAACAACAATGGGCCTAGAATAGACCCCTGTGGGACATCAGTAGAATATTGATTACATCTGAATGAGGTTTCTTATTTGTCTCCTCACACTCAGTCATGATTTATAATGATGTCACTTATTTACTCTTGTTCTCCATTTTATTATTATTCCCATACTTTATGTGTAGTATTTCACTTGTCCATGCTGAATGGTGATTTATGACACTAGTTTCATTGGCAGATTGGCCATTCATCAAAGGACAAAGACACAGACAAGAAAACAAAACAGCTACAAATGGCAAGATAGAGTGCCACAGTGACGCGTCCTAAAACCCGGAAGTATGCTGCGCATGGGTTGCTTCGACAAAAAAGCAATGCATTATCTCCATAGGATTTTGAAAAATAGCTCGAAATAAGGTCTGTGGTTGACACACAACCACAAATCTAATCATAAATCTATCGATTAGATTTATGATTAGAAAATGATAAAAGTGGGGTAGACATGTGGATATTATCCGGCTGAACCAAACGTGATCCGTCTCTTAAGTGTGTGTCAGCCACAGACCTTATTTCCAGCTATTTTCCAAAATCCTATGGAGAATGCATTGGTTTTTTGTCGAAGGAACCCATGCGCAGCTTACTTCCGGGTTTTAGGACGCATCACTGTGGCACTCTATTGTAAACCAAAGATTCAAGTGAGGGCCAGGAGCACCAACGTTTGAATAATGGGCTCTACAATCATTTGACATACGAACAGCTGTGACCAATATTGATGATTATGATGGTTCCTTCTCATTTAGGGGTGCCAGTTAGGCAGCACGCACAGAATCACCTCTGAAATGTGAAATGTCCATGCAGCCATTCATCACTTATTTAACTAAATCTTATTTAGCCAATCTGCAGTGAAATTATATACATTCTATCAGGGCTACGAATTGAAGCAAATTTAACAGCACACTACACTAGAAAGCTAGCTCTTGAAAAAGAGTAAACGTTTAGGTATGGAAAAATAAATGTTTCATTGTGTATGCCAGTTTTCTCTTTAAATATTTGAATAACAATAAAACAATAATCAGAAATCAATACCATCCCCATATTCAAGTTGATATAATCATGTAATCTCTGCTTCTCTATGTGTCGTCACACGTCTGCACTCCCAGTGCTGCTCCATGTGAGTCAGCACTATGTGGCCCAATTCTAAACCGCCCCCTACACCCTACCCCTACACACTACCCCTCCGTTTGCGCGTTCGCGCGGAGGGTCCGCCACATTAAGTGCTGTTCCAAACCAACGAGTTTTGGGAGTGGGTTATCAAGCCCTCCAACAGCGAGTCTGCATCGGTCCTGACTTCACCTGCTGCCCTACCTGACCGACTCAACGCTGTGTGTGTCCGCCAAGAAACAAGCTGTGTACAAATAGTTACGTGGAAACATTCACTGATAAACTGCACAACAAGAGCTATTTAATATGCCTAACTGGCACCCCTAAATGAGAAGGAACCATTATAATGCATAATGCAGACACATGCATTTCCTAACATTCGGTCTATATGCTGTAAAATGTATTATCTCTTCAATTTACACACGGCATCTATTGCACGTCTGTCCGTCCTGGGAGAGGGATCCCTCCTCTGTTGCTCTCCCTGAGGTTTCTCCCATGTTCCCTTTAAACTGTGGGTTTTCTCTGGAAGTTTTTCCTTGTACGATGTGAGGGTCTAAGGACAGAGGGTCTAAGGACAGAGGGTCTAAGGACAGAGGGTGTCGTTTTTCTCATACTGATATTCTGAACAATCTGTGCTGTTGTATTTGCTGTAAAGTGTCTCTACTGCTATTTTTATTATATGTACAGCACTTTGGCTCCACCAAAAATCGTTTATAAATGTGCTATATAAATAAAACTTGACTTGATTTGATTTGAATATCTTCATACAGATGTTAACAACCTTATGGTTACTTCCTATTTGTTTGAACATAGGATAATGTACTCATGTCTAGTCTAGAAAACGGTAAAAGTTGTGTATATTTACACAGACTTTTGCAAAAACGAAGCCGTTTATAAACATCAGATTTTAAAACAAAATATGTTTACAAAAAAGATATGCCATACAAGATTTTTAGGGTTTTATTTTTGTTAATTTTAATCCAAGAGATGCTGATTTGAAACCGTTGTTACGAAAAATGATGGCATTTCCTGTTTCAGCTGGAGAGAGGGGAGTTCGTCCCAAAGCTTGCCGCTGTTTTTACACCCTCCATCTGACAGGAGGGAGCCTCTTTAAGCTGAGAGTGTGACTACAGACGGAGTTCACTCCGTCACGGAGGGGGAGTGGGTAGGGTGTGGTTTGGAATTGGGCCTGTGTGTGCTCCTCTCTTTGGTTCCACTCCGTGTGTGCTCCTCTCTTTGGTTCCACTCTGTGTGTGCTCCTCTCTTTGGTTCCACTCTGTGTGTGCTCCTCTCTTTGGTTCCACTCTGTGTGTGCTCCTCTCTTTGGTTCCACTCTGTTGGTGTGCTCCTCTCTTTGGTTCCACTCTGTGTGTGCTCTTCTCTTTGGTTCCACTCTGTGTGTGCTCCTCTCTTTGGTCCCACTCTGTGTGTGCTCCTCTCTTTGGTTCCACTCTGTGTGTGCTCCTCTCTTTGGTTCCACTCTGTGTGTGCTCTTCTCTTTGGTTCCACTCTGTGTGTGCTCCTCTCTTTGGTTCCACTCTGTGTGTGCTCCTCTCTTTGGTTCCACTCTGTGTGTGCTCCTCTCTTTGGTTCCACTCTGTGTGTGCTCCTCTCTTTGGTTCCACTCTGTGTGTGCTCCTCTCTTTGGTTCCACTCTGTGTGTGCTCCTCTCTTTGGTTCCACTATGTGTGTGCTCCTCTCTTTGGTTCCACTCTGTGTGTGCTCCTCTCTTTGGTTCCACTCTGTCCACAGGTCACAGCAGCTGAAATGCTGCAGAGGACTCGATTCACACAACCTTTCCCCTGATTTGGAGACTGTTGATGTGGAAGATTCACACGGACTCCCATCAGCTGGATGGAAAGCCCTGACCACCTGTATGGTTTCAGCCTATAGCTACTAGCAGTGCA